TGCTGCCGCCCCAGTTGCTGTGTGTCCAGCTGTTGCAGGCCCCAGTGCTGTCAGACAACCTGCTGCAGGACCACCTGCTGCCGCCCCAGCTGCTGTGTGACCACTTGCTGCCGCCCCAGCTGCTGGTAGACCACCTGCTGCAGAACCCAGTGTTTTCAACCCAGCTGCTGTGTGTCCAGTTGCTGCCATCCAACTGCTGCCAGACCACCTGCTCCCACCCAACCTGCTCTAGTGGTTCTTGCTGCTGCTGCTGCTCTCATCTGGACTCACCTGATTCTCATCAGCCAGCATTCCTGATGTAGTTCATCTGCGAGCTGAGTTATGGGAAGCTAGTTAGAAAACTTCAGTTCCAACTGATTCTTAGATAGAATCTGACCTCCAAATATGTGCCCCCCGCCACATTTTACCTCTGTACCAAATGAACATAAGTTGTAATTTGCTCTGAAATCTGTCAACTACCTTAATTGAAATATTTGCTCTCTGCCATAATTTCTCATATGAAACTATCCCATTTTAAACAAATATTTGTCTAAATAAATCTTAAATAAATTTTTCAGGCATAGAAATATACAGATACTGTGTATCATTAGTTTTCTTTTTTGAGTGTCGTCATTATCAGTCAATTTTTCCATTGCTCTTCTCCGCAGAGGAGAAGACCACAGCACATATTTTCAGGGGCACCACCTCTATTTCCTCAGCACTCTTTATTCTAAGATACAATGGTGGTTTCTTAGAACAAGCACCTGGAGCTCTATTCTTGAAGAGTTTCTCTAGCCAAGGAGCAAGCTCTGGACTATAGAGTTTAAGCCTCTCAGAATACTATGCAGCCATAAAAAAGGATGAGTTCGTGTCCTTTGCAGGGACATGGATTAATCTGGAAACCATCATTCTCAGCAAACTGACACAACAACAGAAAACCAAACACCGCATGTTCTCACTCATAAGTGAGTGTTGAACAATGAGAACACACGGACACAGGGAGGTGAACATCACACATTGGGGTCTGTTGGGGGTTGGGGGGCTAGGGGAACAATAACAGGGGGTGCGGACGTTGGTGAGGGATAACATTAGGAGAAATACCTAATGTAGGTGATGGGGGGATGGAGGCAGCAAACCACCATGGCATGTGTATACCTATGCAACAATCCTGCAAGATCTGCATATGTACCCCAGAACTTAAAGTATAATAAAACACACACACACACACACACACACACACACACATACGCAGCCTCTTGGGACAGCACTCAACAAAGTGGGGGCTGGTGAACACATGCTCTAGTTATTTCTCCTCCAGTTGGGAACATGTTGTACCAGCCTTTCAGAGGTCCTCAGAGAGACCTAATTCCAGCTGCCTACAGGGGTATTCTGATTATTAACTCATCCTGTCTCTACTTCCCTCCCTTTCCTGGAGCATTTTTCATGTTCCATTCAGCACTTCTTGAGACCATCTCCCACTTATACTCCTGGGTCTGCTCCAGTGGGTTCCCAATCTAAGATGTCAGTGTTTCTAATTTCAGTATTAGTGTCCTTCAAGACATTTTTTCTTTTTTATTGATATATAACAGATGTACATATAAAATGTTGATACATCCATATAATGTGGAAAGATTCAATCAGGGTAATTGGATTATTCATCATAATTTATCTTTAAGCTAGGAACATCTGAATTATTCTTTTTTAGCTACTTTGAAATATTTAATAGATTATTGTTAACTGTAGTCATCCTACAGTTCTATTGAACACTAGGTCATAGGTCATATTTTTCTAACTTATATTTGTACCCATCAATCAACCTCTTTATTTCCCCCAGCCACTCCCCTTTGACTCTGATAACCAGCAATCTATTCTTTATCTTCATGAGTTCTATTCCGTTAGCAATTTGTCTTTCTGTGCTTGGCCTATTTCATGTAACATAATTAAATCAGTTTTGTACAGTGTCAGTGGTTACCCTGGTGTCATGGTCAACTCTTGAGTGTACTGTCTACTAAATTCAAAAATATTCTGAATAATCTTCTCCTTCTTCTTCTTGTTCTTCTTCTTCCTCTTCTTCTTCTTCCTCTTCCTCTTCTTCTTCCTTCTCCTTCTCTTTCTCATTCTCCTTCCTTCTCCTTCTCCTTCTCTCTCTCCCTCTCTCCCCTTCTTCTCCTCCTCCTCCTCCTCCTTCTTCTTCTTCTTCCTCTTCTTCTTCCTCTTTTTCATCCTTCCCCCTCTCCCTCTCCCTCTGCCTCTCCCTCTGCCTCTGCCTCTCCCTCTTCCCATTCCCCTCCCCATTTTCCCTCCCCCTCCCCTCCCCCTCCATCTCCTTCTCATTCTCCTTCTCCTTCTTCCTCCTCTTCTCAGTTTGGGCACAATTATCTCTAGACTAGTTGTATTTAATATATATATATATATATATATATATATATATATATATATATATCTGAGATGGAGTCTTGCTCTGTCACCCTGGCTGGAGGGCAGTGGTGCCATCTTAGCTCACTGCAACCTCCACCCTGAAGGTTCAAGTGATTCTCCCACCTCAGCCCTCTGAATAGCTAGAATTATAGGCATGTGCCACCACAGCCAGCTAATTTTTGTATTTTTAGTAGAGATGGAGTTTCATCATGTTGGCCAGGCTGGTCTTGAACTCTTGATCTCAAGTGATCTCTCTGCCTCAGTCTCCAGAAGTGTTGGGATTACAGGCACAAGCCATCATGCCCAGCCTTCAATCTCTTTTTCTTCCATATCATTATATCTGAAGACATACAAATGGTCAATAAGCATATGAAATAATGCTCATCATCACTAAATCATCAAACAAATGCAAATTAAAACCACATTGAACAATCATCTTATACCAGTCAGAATGGCTGTTATTAAAAAGACAGAAATAACAATTGTTGATGAAGATACAGCTGAAAGGGAACCCATCAACAGTTGGGAATGTAAATTAGTACAACCTCTATGAAAACCAGTATGGAGATTTCTCAAAGAACTAAAAATAGAACTATAATTTGATTCAGCAATCCCATGACTGAGTGTCTACCTGAAGGAAAAGAAATCATTATACCAATAATATACCTGCATACATGTTTATCACACCACTATTTATAGTAGCAAAGATATGGAATCAACCTAAATGTCCATCAGTGGGTGACTGTATAAAGAAAATGTGTTATATATAAACAATGGAATACTCTTCAGCCATAAAACATAATGAAATCATGTCTTCTACAGAAACGTGGATGGAACTGGAGGTCATTATCTTAAGTGAAACAACTCAGACATAGAAAGACAATATAGCACGTTCTCACTTACTGTGGGGCCAAATGATGTGTGCACATGGACACAGAGTGTGAAATGACAGACAGTGGAGAATCTGAAGGAAAGGGTTATAGGAGGGGAATGAATGATGAGAAATTACTTGAAGGGCAGAATGCACATTATTTCAGTGATGGATACTATAAACATCCCGATGTGACCATTATGCAATATATCCGTGTAACAAGATTATACTTTTATAAATCTACATGAATAAAATATTTTAAAGATATCTGAATTGGAAAGGAAGAAGTTAAATTGTTTCTATTTGCAGGTGACATGATCTTATATGTAGAAAACCCTAAAGACTCCACTAAGAAGCTGTGAGAACTAATAAATTCAGTGAGGTTGCAGAGTATAAAATCAACATACAAAACCCAGTAGGTTTTCTATAAACTAATAGCAAACTATCTGAAAAAGAAATCAAGATAACTATTTCATTTACAATAGTTACAATAAAATAAAAACTTGGGAACAAATTTAACCAAGAAAGTGAGGATCTCTACACTGAAAACTGCCAAACAAAAATGAAAGAAATTGATGAAATCACAAATAAATGGAATGTCCTGTGTTCATGAACTGAAAGAGTTAATATTGTCCAAATATTTTTAAAGCAATTTACAGATTTTATGCGCTGCCTATAAATATACCATGACATTCTTCATAGAAATAGAAAAAAAAAACAGTTCTATAATTTGCAGAGAACCACAAATAACTAAAGTAATCTTGAACACTAGGAACATAGCTAGGAACATCACATTCCCTGACTTCAAAATAAGCCACAACACCAGAGTAACCAAAATACCATCATTGTGACATAAAAACAAACACATAGTCCAATGGAATGTAATACAGAGATCAGAAATAAAGTCACGTATTTACAGACAATTGATTTTCAACAAAGGTGAGAAGATAGGGTTAGGACAGTTTCTTCAATAAATTGTGTTAGTGCCAGGTGCGATGGCTCACGTCTGTAATCCCAGCATTTGGGAGGCCAAGGCAGGTGGATCATGAGGTCAGGAGTTCGAGACCAGCCTGGGCAACATGGTGAAACCCTGTCTCTACTAAAATACAAAAAAATTAGCTGGGCATGGTGGCAGAGGCCTGTAATCCCACCTACTTGGGAGGCTGAGGTAGGAAAATCGCTTGAACCCAGGAGACAGGGGTTGCAGTGAGCCGAGATTGTGCCACAGCACTCCAGCCTGGGTAACAAGAGCAAGACTCTGTCTCCAAAAATAAATAAATAAATAAATAATTGTGTTGGGAAACCTAGGTATCCACATGCAGAAGAATGAAATTAGTCCCTTATTTCTTACAATATACGAAAATCAGTTCAAATCGATTAACGGCTTGAATGTAAGATCAGAAACTATGAAACTTTTGGAAGAAAGCTTAGGGGAAAGATTCATGACATTGGTCTTGGCAATGACTTTTTGAACATGACCCCAGAAGCACAGGCGATGAAAGAAAAATTAGATGACTGAGATTACATCAAACTAAAAAGCTTCTGCACAGCAAAGGAAACCACAAAAAGAATGAAGAGCTAACCTACAGAATGGGAGAAAATAACTCTCATAAGAGAAAAAACATCTCATAAGGGGTTAATATCCAGAATATATAAGGAGCTCAAACAGCTCAGAAGGAAGAAAACAAAAAACTGATTAAAAATGGGCAAAAGACCTGACTAGACATTTCTCAAAAGAAGACACACAAATGGCTAACAGGTATGCGAAAAAGCACTCAACATTACTAATTATTAGGAAAATACAAATCAAAACCACACTGAGAGATCACATTACTCCTGTTAGAATGTCTATTATCAAAAAGACAAAGGATGATAAGTTATTGGCAAGGATGTGAAAAAAATCCCTTTGTTTTCAACAAAATGCTCTTGTCCAGATGTAGTAATATCTATTCTTACTACATCTGGACAAGAAAGATGTAGAATACAATAGAGAGTGTATTATCTCTATTCTCTGCGAATAGAGATAATACATTATGTTCTTTAAATGTTTTCAACAAGTTTAAACCATTAAATGGACAAACATTATCGTGCAATCTGATAATCACTTAGTTATTAAGTAAACAAAAACAAGGAAGCTGGGCAGTATATAAGAAGCTGTGGCCCAAGAACACTTCCAAACTTGAGAACCTCATTCTTCTAGAAACCCACCTAGAACCTCCACCCTCTGACACCATGGTCAACTCCTGTTGTGGCTCTGTCTGCTCTGAGCAGAGCTGTGGCCTGGAGAGCTGCTGCTGCCC